ATTAGCACTTTCAAATATCCAGACTTTATATAAATCTATACTAATTACAACTTTGCAGAATAAGCATCAGAATAAAGAAATCAATCAACGGAACCAAGTTGAGAGCCGAGCGACAGACCCAAACATCTATGGACACTCAACATACGACAGAGCAGGCAATACCCAGATAAAAGGAGAAAGGATGGATTTTTTAAAAACAAAAACAAAACAATAAATAGTGGAAAAATTCAGTGTCTTCTGTTGAAAAAAACCAAAATTCTTTAAAGTTTAAAATATATCGGGACCCCCTTCCTGGTACCTTACAAAAAAAACCAACTTGAATGCAGATGGATTATAAACCTAAATGTAAAACGTAAAAACCATGAAACTTTCAGAAGAAAATACTGGAGAATATCTTAACTTCAGGGTAAGGAAAGATTTCTTAAACAACAAGAGCACAAACCCAAAGGAAAAGACTGATAAATTTTAAAGCAGAATTTCTCTTCATCATAAGATACCATTAAAGAAAGTGAAGAGATAAGCCACAATTGATATTCACAACGTGTAACATGTAAAGATTAGTATATAGAATACATACAATGTATCCCACAAATAATAAAACGGCAAACAACTCAATAGGAAAAGATGATTAAAAAGTCATTTTACAAAAAAGGAAATTCCATTGGCCAATAAACCTATACAAAGATGCTCAACATCATTAGTAAATATGAAAACGCAAATTAAAACCACACTGAGATACCATCTCCACCACCAGATTGGGAAGTCCAACTCATACTTTTTTTGATACATACTATTTACATTATTAGCAATATTTTAAGGCTTAATTTCCTGAAATCCTTACTTTGCATAGAAAAAATAGAAAAAAATCAACTTCCACTTACTTAATTGAGTTTCTAAAGTGGTCTTCAGCTGGGTTTTTTACAGTACAGCTATTCAGGAGCCATAAATCTGCGTCTGAAGCATTTTCTATTAAAAAAATGAATATGAAAAAGAAAAGTAAGTATCATATTTAATCATTCAAAAACGACTGTTTACTCAGATGGCACTGAGCCTGCTGGCGGAGGGCGGAGAGAGGCAGTGCACAGAGTCAAGTAACCAGGTGATTACAGGACAGTAGGTAACTGCTATAACATGGAAATATTCATGAGAAATAAACACAAAAATGTATAACCTTTGCTCTATCTTTTCATTTAAAAGATGAGGACAAGCATTTTTTTTCTTTATTTTCAATATTTGCGAGTATTTAATAACTTCCAAAAACTAAAGTGAAACTAGCATAATTTTACCTTTGAATATGAAATTAATTGCCCCTTTTTGGACTGTATATTAATATTTTTCAGGCACATGTATTGTCACACACTGAATATTCTTCAGCTTGAGACATTAAAAAATATAATTTGTCTTCCTTGAAAAAGTTAATGATTTACCTCAAAGTGAACCTTTTATTTCCTCTCACCAATTTGATTAAATATTGTTATATACTGTAATAAACTCACTAGCAATGCAGCAAATAACCCAAATCCATCATGTTTGCTGAAATGACTTTATAAACGCCTATAGTGCTTGAGCTACACCAACTACCTCGTTGCCTAAAAGGACTCATACATTAAAACAGAATTACCGAAATGAAAGGAAAACCAAAATTAAAAACTACAGCACCTCCAATGGTATTTCAATAAGAACAGAAGCTAAGGTCAAAAGACATAAGAACTAAGAGGATATCCAAATGTCTGTGTGCACATTCTCTACCTGGGAAGGGAACTTCAAACGAAAGCACTGTAATTCATTACAAATAGTGCTGCAAGGAATACCACTGTGCACACATCATTTTGTATTTTTCCCAGATTATCTTTGGAATCAAGCCCAAAGAAGTAGGATTTGGGGGTCAAAGGATAAATTCTTATGTAATTCCATTACATACTGTCACATTCCTGTCCATAAGGGCTGTGCCACTTTGCAATGCTGTGAGCAAGGCATGAGACTGCCTGTTTATCCATGACATCGCCCATGGAGTGTGCTATCAAACCTCTGTACTTTTGCCAATCTGGTAAGAAACAGGATGCTAGTGAGGTGTTGACGTGTATTTCTCTTATTATGAATGCATTAAGCATCTTTTTACATGTTTAAGAGCCATTTGTTGGGTTTTTTTCTGTTCTCTCTCCACATCTTTTGCCCCTTTTTCTATCTAAGGTTAGTCATTCTCATCTCAAGTTTTAATTTACTGATACACACACACAGAGGATGTTCATCCTTTGTCTATGACAGAAGTTAGAATATTTTTTCCCAGTTTGCCATTTTACTTTTTTATAGAATTTCTTCATGCATTTTTATTTCTAGGATACCAAATTTATCAACCTCTTCTCTTTTTTCTTGACTTTGAGTCATAATTAGAACGTTTCCTCCACTCTCAGACTAAAGAATTCACCCGTGTTTTTTTCTAATACACATATGGTTTTACATTTAGAGCTTTGCTCTATTAGGAATTCATCCTGGTATACAATGATCTCACCGAATTTTTTAAATGTAAAAATGAAATAAGACCCTATATTCTCCTATCAAATTAGAAAATATTAAAAAGTGTGATACTATCTAGTGCTAGCAAAAGAACAGGGAAACTGGCAACCTCTTACTCAGCTGACGGCAGTCTACACTGATGAAACTCTTTGGAATGCAATGTGGGGATAGCTATCAAAAATTTAGGGCCAGCCTCCGTGGCCTAGTGGTTAAGTTCGGTGCACTCCACTTTTGCAGCCTGGATTCGGTTCCAGGGCTCGAACCTACACCACTTGTCTGTCAGTGGCCATGCTGTGGTGGTGACCCACATACCAAAAGAGTAAGATTGGCAGGCAGTGGATGTTAGCTCAGGGCAAATCTTCAGCAAGAAAAAAAACATTAAATGTGCATCAGAATTCCTCCTACATACGCTTGTAGGATACTTGCATCACATACACATATATTTATACAAACACACACACACGTATGTACATATATATATACACACACACACACATATAAATTTTAAAATTCTCATTGAAGATTACTGACAAAGCAAAAAGCCTGGAAAGCCTACATATCCATTATAAGGAGATTGGCTACATAAATTAGGAAACTGTAGCCAAAATACCATTCAGCTATTTAAAAAGCACAGTAAATCTACAAGTGCTAATTTAAACTAATCTTTGTCATATCATCAGATGAAACACAGCAAGGTGCAGAAGACTAAGTCCTGTATTTCGTTTGTGTTTTAAAAAGGAAAAAGAGAAAAAAGGAAATTCTGTTTTAAGCAAAGAAAATTTCTCAAAGCATATACACGAAACTGTTTGAGGTGTTTGCCCTTGGAAGTGAGACAAAGGTTCAGTTGTAATCCATTCATGTGACCTTTTATTTTATATTCTTTCTCTTTTCTTTTTTAAAATTTGCATGAACAGTACTTTTATAATTTTATAAAGCTTAATCTTGAGAAGGGATACATTAATATTTAATTTATATCCATATGTACTGTTTGAATTTTTAAAAGAATGTATTGCCCTTTCATGTAAGAAAACTAATCAAGCCTTTCTAATCTTTTTAAGTTTCCTTTTCCATAAAGTTCAGAATCAATAGTGTTCTGTCATTTTAAAGTGAGAACATAAACTATTTTCCTGCTATGATTCATCACAAAAACAAGTGATCTGACATACATTTTCTAAGGGACTTTTCTCCCCACTGCTAAAAGCTTTTGTACTCATGGAACCAAGAAAATTATGGTCGTGGACGCACTACCCACTTTGAGTGTAAGGACAGAGAAACAAACTTATTTGTTTTAATTGAAACACATTTACTTTCCAAACTATTTCTTTATGTACACAAGATAAATTACTTTTAAATCTAAAGTAATAAAAATCTGATTAGCAATAATGATAACTAACATTATTAAGTATATATTATGCATTCAGCAATGAGCCAAGCATGTATTCTTTTTTTTTTTTTTTCCATTTAATCCTCCCAATTTGAGGTGGGTTCATTTTTACTCCAATTTTACAGAGGAGGAATCTAAGGCTTAGAAAGAAAAAGAAACTTGCCTAAAACCACACGGTAAGAGTGGGCCAGGGTTAGAAATCCAGACAAACTGACTCCAGGGACTGTAAATTTAAGGAAATTAGAATGCCTCATTTGTGGCTCTTTGCCTCTTGATCAAAAATAATGCAGACAATATCTAAAAAGAAAATAAAGAAGTACTACATGGCCTTGAGGTTGCCTCATGATATTTCTAAGACTAATAACCAGGCTTCAAAAGGAGCTGTTTGGCTATTTCCAAAATTTCCAGATCTTGAACCTGTCAGCTCTAGGCCTTCTGTAATCAGTGGGAGACATGCAAGTAAAGGGAGAATTAAGAATGAGCTCAGGATCATTACTCCAAAGCACAAACTGACTCTCACAGCAACCAATCTTCCCTTTACCCTGCAGGCTTCTGGATAATGGTGGCATTAAAGAAGGGATGGGCATGGTTCATATCAACACTACTCAGAACAAAACATTTATCCTACACAACTGTTCCATTTGAAAGTCAACTAGAGGAGCAGCATAAACAGTAAGAGGAGTCTATTCATAGATCTAAGTAAGGCAGTTACGCAAGCCGAAACAAATAAAAATTCACTAAGAACATGAAGAGGGGGAAAAAAGTTTGTTTTGGATCCACCAGCATTTTGGGGGAATTTCTTTACCACAGAACTCTGAAAGACAAGTCAAATCCAAACAGTTCAAATGTCCATAACGCTTAATCATATCTGGGGAGTTTATCTAAATAATACAAATTATTGGGTGCCCATTAAAAACTCAGAGAATAGGGCTGGCCCCATGGCCAAGGGGTTAAGTTCGTGCACCTGGCTACAGGCGGCCCAGTGTTTCGTTGGTTCAAATCCTGGGCGCGGACATGGCACTGCTCATCAAACCACGCTGAGGCAGCGTCCCACATGCCACAACTAGAGGACCCACAACGAAGAATATACAACTATGTACCGGGGGGCTTTGAGGAGAAAAAGGAAAAAATAAATAAATAAAATCTTTAAAAACTCAGAGAATAGAGTATGCTTTAATAAGAGAATTTAAAAGCACCTCTAAGGTACATCTTGAAAAATAATTTCTTAAAATCAATAAGAGACAAAATAAAAATTCTAGTCAAAGGATTAATTTTTTTCTTCTACATCTCATTAATTGTTCTTTATATGGACTGTGTAATGCACAGCATGGGGAAACCATGTTTTCAAAATCTGTTTTATAAAAGCAATTAAAGTGATCCACAAGAAAAATATTCTTTTAGTCAGCTAGGGTTGAAGGAGTTGGAGGATGGGAAGATGAAGATGGAGGAAAAGGAGGAACAAGCAGGGGAGAGGAGGAGAAATGAAAGAAAGAGACAGAGACTGACAAAGAGTATCTACAGCTCCCAGTCTGAAATACCCAGTGCAAGAACTAGCCCCTCCACTGTCTACTATTGGTGATTGGTGTGTTTCTGAGTGAAGCAGAACACAGGAGCTCCTAGGGGAATGCACTTATTCTTGGAGATTACTCGCACAATGAGTTTGTTCTTATAATAGTCCTGCTGAGTGCTCTGCAGAAATAAGATGAGGAAACCACTGGTCAGCTTGAACTCCGTTTACTGTATGAAGGGAAAAGGACATTTTTTTCTTTTAAAAGAGAACTAATATCTGGCAAAACTCTGCCAATAACTATTGAAAATTAATTACATAGCTATGTAGGCCTGGTCATAATCAAAATCAGAGTGTTAGACAAACCTTTTACTTACGATGTGTAACAGAACATTGCTAATATTCCCCTGTCCTCTTTCCAAATTAAACTGCTATGTTGACCTGGCACATAATTACTTCAGAAGTTACTACATCTAAAGAATCCCTAATAGGATATCTAGTTCTACATGTTAAATAGGTTAATAAACGAAGAGGTGATATACACACCAAACAGACTTCACAGGGCACTTCAGGATGAGGTCACCACCCCTCCACCCAAAGCCACTGCTCAGCGTGCCCATCTTGTATGCTAATATTTCTGAGCTTTTAGGCCCTCAGGCCTAATAAGTAAAACTCGAAAATTGAGAAGACCAAAAAAAATCTAATAGAAAAAAAAGGGGCAATGAATATGAACTCAGCATTCACAAAAAAACACATATGACTCTTGAACATACAAAAAGATGCTCAACTTCATTCTTAATAAATGAAAATTAAAACTGCACTAAGGGAAAAAAAACTGTACCATTTTCACTTTCTATATTGTCAAAAACCCAAAAGCTTGATAACATACTGTACTGACATAACTATGAGGAAACAGGCACTCGCACGTGCTGCCGGTGGGAATGTAAACTAGAACACCACCTATGGCGGCAATTTGACAATATCTACCGAAATGGCAAATGCATATCCTCTGAACAAGAAGTTCTAAGAATTTAGCCTACTGCAAACCTATTACACAATTAAGGTCATTCATTGCAGCATTATTTATAACAGTAAGAGGTGACTGGTTAAAGGCATTTTAGTACATTCAAAATTAAGACTCCTATCAAGCTCCTCACAAAAAAAAAAGAAAAATGAATAACCTCTAAGTCCTAATATAGAAAGATCTCTCAGACATATTGTTCAGAGAAAAGAATAAGACACCAAAAATATATACACTATGCTACCACTGGAAATCTAGAATACATATTCATATTTGTTTGTATTTGCATAAAAAAATTGGGGGATGTACACCAGAAACAAACAGCAAAGGCCAGGACCAGAAGGAGGGAGTGGGAACAGGACTGATGGGAGACAGGGTAAGAGGAAAACTGTTTCTTGTATAATTTATTTTCTATTTTTGAATCTATTCAAAAATTAAGTATTTTCAAAGTAAAAAAAAGCAATTATAAAAACTGTAGCTTGTCTTAATCTTCCTGCTATCTCCCCATTTCTTTACTCCCTTTCATAGTCAAACATCTTGAAAGAACTGTCTCTGCACCTGCTATACACTGTCACCTCCCATTCACTCTTCCACCACTTCATTTTGGTGAAGACCTTCAACTACTCCCCATTTCCCTGAATTCGCTTTCATCAAGGGAACTGACATGAAATGCCATAGACAGTAGCATGATGCAGTTAAACACTGCTTTCTTCATGGTCAATAGCATCACTCTCCTGTTTTCCTCTTACTTCTTTGGGCTCTCTACTTTACCCATCCCTCTCTGCCCTCCACGAATTAGAGTTCCTTAGAAGCAAGATTTTGGTCCCCTTCTCATCTATTCCCTAGATGAGACCATTCTTCTCATGGTTTTAACTACTACCATTATCCTGAGACATGATATCCAAATTTATACTTCCAGTTGAACTCATAGCGAGTGAACTCACTATCTTATTTTCATGGCAATAGAGTTATTTACATAAGATCCACCAACCAACTCACCTAACAACATCTCTGCCAGAATATAGCAAAGAAATATTAAAACTTGACACAAATCATTTCCAAAATTGAACTCTCAAATGTTCACCCTGCATTCATCAGGTTCTAGTTAGGAAAACAGAAGCCACTCTAGGCATTAAAATAAAGAAAAATTAATACAGAAATGTGGTTACACGGGCGATGGAAAAGCCAAGACACCAAATGGGGAATGGTGACGCAACCCTGAGATAAGCAACAGCAGGAAACCACTACAGCCTAAGGGCTGGAGAGACCCACTCGAAGAGGTGGAATTATGAGAGCCCAGAAGCTGCGATAATTTGGCAGGGGCTAGAGTGGCAGCAGGAGCTGCTCATCAGGAGCTGGGACTACAAAGGATGGAGCTGTTTGATAGGAAATGAAGCCACAGGGATGAAACTGCCACTTCCTGAGACATGACACAGAGCAAAAAGAGAGGGAGGAAAGTACCCTACCTTCTCCCTACTCCTATCCTCCAGTCTTCCATCAGTGCCTCCTATTGGCCAAATCCACCCAAAAAAGCCAAAAGGTAAAGAAGACTGTCAAATGAAGTTCCATGATACAGAGGACAGAGAAAGTCAGGGAATGAAATCTGATAGCCAACAGGCAAACGACTAAATCCCACCTCTTCCTCTCTTCCCCATCTCCATAAATGGTACATTTACCCAAAAGCTGAAACCAGAAACCTGGGAGTCATCTTTAATCATTTCTTTCACCTCACCATCTCCTGCAGCAAATCCAACAACTCCCAAAGGAGGAGACTTCACCTCCAAAATAATATGAATACATCTGCTATTTGTCTCCATCGCCACAACCCTTGTATAAGTCACCACATCTCACTTACGCCATTGCAATAGTCTCCTGCCATCCCTATGGTTGCCATAAGGCAACTTAGAAAGCTATCAGTGAACCAAAGGAAAGCAAGAAGTTTTTTTTGTTTTAACAGTCATGAATAATCTATACTTAAAGATAATTGAAACTGCATAAATAGGATACCTATATTTGAAACTATATTTTGATAAGGGAAAAAAGGTCATTATTGAGAATTTACTACACACCAAAAAGTAGAGTTGTTAAATATATATAATTCTCTCCTTTTTTAAAAAGAACTCAGAAAAATAAAATTTCAGTTTACTGTTGGACAACATTGTTTCATCCATACATCAAACAGGCCAAAAATATACAGCAACTTCATGGGGAAAAAAAAAAGAAACCTTTTATCTTTGGCCTTTTTAACCATCTCATATAACCAACAACTTATGGTACAAATAAAAAAGTTACTGACATGTTGAGAATCAGATGTTTTGTTGTCTTTGTTTTTACAAGGTTTTTTTCTCCTTTGAGATTATAATGAACACGGTCACATCACAAGTCAAGTCAGAAGTAGGACAGAGAGGACTCCAAAAGCTGGTTTGGTCATCCAAGATCATTAACATGTATAAAAATGCAAAATGTAAATTTAAAATACAAACAAATTTTCCTTTTAATGTACTTTTAAGAACAAAAGCAGGGCCTTGGAAGTTTTGTTTCCTTTTCCCTCTCCTGTTGCACATTCACATTGTGGTTTTGGTCGGGTGGCGGAGAGCTTATCATATGCAGATGGCACTGCCCACAGCGGTCAGCTGGGTGGGCCTCTCTACTCGAAGGCAACCATGTTTAGATTCTGAGATGGGAAGTGCCGGTGGTGAATGGATCACGGCAGCCTTGTTTTCCTTTCAACTTTTCCTTTTTTGCTTTCTAGTCATCCTCATCGGTCTTCTGCTTCTTGGTGTCAACATCGTCATCCTCATCATCTTTAGCTGCCCATTTACCCATAGCTGCCTCAGTCTGCTCATCTTCATCTCCATCCTCTTCCTCCCCATCTTCTTTCTCCTCCTCCACTTCCTCCCCATCTTCTTCCTCTTCTTAGTCTACCTCATTGGCAGCCTCCTGCTCCCCATTTTCCTCATTAGCGTTCCCATTAGCAGGTGCATCTCTTCCACTTTCTGCCTCCTCCACAACTTCCTTCTTCTCCTTTAAGTCCTTGGTGGTGATCTCGGAGCTGGTGTCCAATGCAGCAGAATAAAAAGAAAGCCAGAGTTTGGGGGGACTCTGGCAATAAAGTTGCCTGAGTCCACGTCTGTAGAGGAGGCACCCCGAATAGGTGGCTACAGTGAATGGGAAGCCAATCCAAGCGACAATGAAAAGATGGTTTTTCAAAGCAGCCAGTCTAAATTATACCCTGAAATTCATGTATCCCATGGTAAATTTCCTTTCTGATTCAAATATTTTAAAAGAGATATACTGAAAAGAGTTCTATTTAGCCAAAGAACAAATCATAACAACCAAGACAAACCACTCACCAGCAAATTTGCAAAACACCTGGGTTCTATGTAGATTCTACACAACCCTCAATGGTTTAGTACAAATCAACAACTCAAGTCATCTGCTAGGCATGGTACATTTCCAGGACCAATCCTAAGAACAGAAGTATCTCCTTAAAGGGAAGTTTAGATTATCTGCTGAATATTAACTCCAATACAAGAGCTACCTTTAGATTTTGACCCGGCAAACTTACTGGGTCAAAACAATTACCAATCTAGTAATCAAAAGAAAAATACCCATAGGACACTGCCAAGAGAGGAAAGATCCAGATCAAAAATAAAGCTACGGACTAGGCATAGGTTCACTACACTTCAAAGTGCAAAGAAGAATAACTTCAAAGATCTTCGAATGAAATAATGAAACAATGTGAGTGAAGGACTTTAAGGTCAGTGTCCATTCGGATTTGTCAGTGTCCATGCCATACCAATGTTAGATACTTTGAATATGACCCCTAGAGAAAAACAAAATGAGCCAGCTGTATACCAATAATTAGGTATCCAATAATCGTTGTTCAGCTGATTGATAGATATTCATAAATAATAACCCCAAAATGACAGTATCAAACTTTCTAAAATTACAAATATGTTTTACCAATTTCAGACAAAGAATAAGTAGCCACAAAGAGAAAGAATAATATCACCTTAAAGGACTACAGTCATGCACTGCATAACAATGTTTTGGTCAATGACCCACTGCATATATGACGGTGGTCTCAAAAGATTAGTACGATATAGCCAGGGTGTGTAGTAGGCTATACCATCTAGGTTTGTGTAAGTACACTCGAAATGACGAAATTGCCTAACAACACATTTCTCAGAACATATCTTCATCATTAAGGGACCTGCGACTGTATTTGGGAAAGAAGAACTATTAGAAAATCTTACTCATTTGTCACATAAGCTGTGGATTTCCTGAGGAGGGAAGTGAGTAATTATCTGACGCCACTGCACATAGATGGTGAGAATCATCTTAATATAATGACTAAGATCATTTAACTAGAATTTGACTTGTGGAATATATTAATGTTACTACCTTTTAAAATTAATATTACTATCCCCTAACTCCAAATCTACTTTTCAGATTTAAGTTTTATTTCTTTTAGGTGATTCAAAATTTACTTTATTTGATTCATTTTCTAGTTACAAAGTCAAAAATAATGTATGTAGGGGCTGGCCCCGTGGCCGAGTGGTTACGTTCGCGCGCTCTGCTGCAGGCGGCCCAGTGTTTCGTTAGTTCGAATCCTGGGCACGGACATGGCACTGCTCATCAGACCACGCTGAGGCAGCATCCCACATGCCACAACTAGAAGAACCCACAACAAAGAATACACAACTATGTACTGGGGGGCTTTGGGGAGAAAAAGGAAAAAATAAAATCTTTAAAAAAAAAAAAAATAATGTATGTATTCTAGTCTTAATTTTGCTTCAAAAAACTAGAAACAACATAAAGAACTATTATAATTCAGTGATAAAAAGACAAATAATCCAATTTAAAATGGGCAAGAGACCTGAATAGACATTCTCCAAAGATATACAAATAACCCATAAACACATGAAAAGATGCTCAAAATCATTAGCCACCAGGGAAACGCAAATCAAAACTATGATCAGATACCACTTCATATCTACTAGGATGGCTATAATAATATAAATAGGGGCCAGCCTGGTGGCGCAGTGGTTAAGTGCACACGTTCCACTTCGGCAGCCCAGGGTTCGCTGGTTCGGATCCTGGGTGCAGACATGGCACCGCTTGGCAAGCCATCCTGTGACAGGCGTCCCACATATAAAGCAGAGGAAGATGGGCAGAGATGTTACTCAGGGCCAGTCCTCCTCAGCAAAAAGAGGACGATTGGCAGCAGTTAGCTTAGGGCTAATCTTCCTCCAAAAAACTAAATAAATAAAATAAAATAACATGTTGGCAAGGAGGTAGAGAAATTGGAACTGTCACACACTGCTGATCGGCATGTAAAACAGTATAGCTGATTTGGAAAACAGTCTGGCAGTTCCTCAAATTGTTAAGCATAGAGTTAACATGTGATCCAACAAGTCTTCTCCTGGGTATATACTCCAGAGAAATGAAAACATATGTCAACACAAAAACTTGTAGATCAATGTTCACAGCAACATTATTTCTAATAGCTAAAAAGTGGGAAAAAATCCAAATGTCCATCAACTGATGAATGGATAAACAAAATGTGCTATATCCATACAATGGAATATTATTAGGCAATAAAAAGAAATGACGTACTGATACGTGTTACCACATGGATGGACCTTGTAAATATGCTAAGTGAAACAGGTCAGTCACAAAGATTCCACTTAAATGAAATGTCCAAAGAGACAAAAAGGAGACTGGTGATTGCCTAAGGCTGGGAAGGCTAGGAGGACTTAGACGTGACAGCTGAAAAACATGGAGTTTCTATTTGGGGTAATGAAATGTTTTAAATCAACTGTGGATGGATCACAACTCTGTGAATATACTAAAAGCTACTAAATTGTACGCTTTAAATGATATATGGTATGGAAATTATCTCAACAAAGCTGTTTGAAAACCAAACCAACACAACATTCAAAACTAGAGACAAGCTTGAGCCACACTGTCACTATTGTTCTCATTTCTGTACCCTCTGCCTAAATGTCCCTTCTACTCATCTGCCATAGCAAACTCATACGCATCTTTCATGGCTCTATTACATGTCACTTCCCCTAAGAAGCCTTCTCTACCCTCTTTAAAAAGAGTAAGGCACTGCTTCCTGTGTAATCACAGATTAGCTTATGGCACATCTTGGCAAAGATTCATAAACATGTCTCCCCCTTAGTATGAGTCCCTCAATGGACCATTCATCTTTAAATACTCAGAATCGAGCTCAGGACTTAAAAGAGAACACGCTCTTACTGTGGACAGATGGATGGATGGAAGGAGGGAAGGAAGGAAGGAAGGAAGGAAGGAAGGAAGGGAGGGAGGGAGGGAGGGAGGGAGAATTGGATGGGAGAAGCAGGGCGAGAGAGAGAAAGACTAGTTCTTGTCAAGCAATCAAAAGCTAACACTAGAGATACACTTCCAGCAGAAGCTGGGGTCAAGCTCTGATAGAGAATCTGGTATTTCTTCCAGGGGAGCTTCTTGTTCTAGCAGTAAAAAAGACTACAGCAACCTTTCACTCTATGAACACTGTGCACCAATTTAAAAAAAAAAAAAAGCAATTACAAAAATATCATGGGAAAATGCTTTTTTAACAGGCATTATGCAACTTATAAATACAGTTATAATTATAGAAAAAGTAAAGGAAAACAAAACCCTACGCATTAAAAATAGATTAGACGAAATGTACCAAAATGTTAACAACAGCTATATTTAGATAATGGAACTCATCTTCTAGAGCTAGGTCTTCCTGGACTCTAGAGGCTTTCACACACAAGTCTGGGCCTAACGAGACATCTTCCCCAAACCTGATCCCTACCATCTGGAGGTTCTTACAGGTCTCTGGAGACATGTTCTCTAACATCTAGCTAGCTCACGGGGAAGGGATGGCTCCTCAGAGGGCTGGGTTAGGCCCCAAGGGTCTTCATCCAAATATTCAACAGAAGCCCACGCCTGGACCTAGCAAGCTAAGGTTCTAAAGGCGGCCTTGAGGAAGCCTATTATAATAGTTCAGAGATTAGGTATTAAGGGCCAGAGGTAGGAAATTACTTAAGGGGAAACGAAAGCTCAATTGGGAAAGAGATTTTTGTAAAAATAAAAGAATTTAGTAACTGACTAGATATGGGAAACGACAGAGGGAAAAATGAAAGGTTTCTAATCTAGAAGGCTAATCCAAAAATGACACCAGTAACACAAATGGAAGCTCTACGGAGGAGCAGGTCAGAAGAGAAGAGTATAACTTCAGCATTAGGCATGTTCACTTTAAGATCCCCATCGAGTGATACATGCAAGCAGAACTCTGCCAGAAGCAATTGTAAATGCACGAAAGAACTCATGTAAGGTCAATGATGGTGAAGTCACCAAAGATGACAGAGAGCAGGCAGTGGTGTGCAGAGGACTATTGAACACCAGTGGTAAAAAACCATCAATAAGGTGGAAATATGTCACAGAGGCATAATGGGTGGGCAGGACTTCAAAAGAGGAGTGTTTGCCTGATTGAGTAATGGTAACAGAACAATGGACTCAAAGTGGCAACAAAAAGCAAAACCTATGCTGACCTCGTCTGTGCCTTATGAATCAGAGGGAATTTGCCTAGAAGTCACAAGTGCAATTAAAATGCTTGACTTAATTTCCTATTGATTTCAATTTGACTATGCAATATTAAATTAGAACTAAACAACCATATGTGCATAGTATTTTGCTACTTGCAAAGTATTTTTAAATACATTATCTCATCTGAGCTCCCCAAAAGCTCCATGAGGTAAGTATTTATAATCCCCATCTTATGGATGAGAAAAGAGGGATAGAAGGATGTTGTAACTTGCAAAGAGGCTTCATAAACTGGAAACCAGGAGGCAGGGCCAGGATCTATCTTCGGCTCTAACAGCTGAACTGAAGCACTTTGAATTTGCACTATCAATTTCCCATCTGAGGTTAGGTACTGAGATGTGGGTTGTCTTTATTCCCATGTACAGGGATTATTTCTTTCCTGATGCCCAAAACAACTAAGCTTTGCACATTTAGTCACAGATTATAATCATCAATTTTTCTCAAAGGAAAATAAATTTTACATTTAGAATGTTATAAATTACCTCTAACTACTCCTCATGAAAAGAACTATGAAACAGAAAGAGGTGAAGAAAGCAAACAATAGGGGGCTGATTAAGAAAATAACTACTAAGAAGAGACTGCAGTACCCCTTACCCT